AGAGTGGGGTTGTTTGTTTTTGCTTGTTTCAACTTTTAAATCCGAAGTTGAATTTAGACAAAATATTTCTTGAGCACAAGCAACCAATACCACAAATAAAAAATAAAGTCTGCAATGATTTCTTTCATTCGGACGTCGACTTAGTGCGCGTAAACATCTGTCGTACGTTTTTTGTTGCTATTTTTTTTCTTACCCTGCCCATTTCTATAAACTGGCGTTTTTGTGTTTAGTAGAAACAAGAACAGCAAAAATTGCGCAGCATTTTAGATTGTAGTATGTTAGTAAAGGCAATGGCTTCTCACCAGATATATATTATCGCATTCCAAAATTATTATGATTTGCTATTTTAGGACCGGTCGGACATGAACTACACAGAGGCGGTGGTGCTGGAGACTCTGAGAACGTACTACCAGATCCCGTTCATCAGCTTGAGGAACGCCAGGGAAGACTTTGAGTACAAGGGGTACACCATCCCCAAGAAGACTATGGTGAGAGAAGTGCTGGACCATCAGTTGTTAATCTTTTAGTTTTAGTTTTAGTTTTAGTAAGAGTTTTACGGCACTTGCAACACTTTGTCAATAAGGTCATATAAGTGCCGAAGGTTAGAGGTGTCACAAGAGAGTAACAAACACAAAATAGAAAGAGGGGAGAAAATGATGACAGATGTTTGATAGGAAAGAAGGAGCAAACCATACCAGTGCACCCGCCAACCACTCGCCTGTTAATCTTTGACACCCTTCATTCTCATGAGAGAGATCATCTAGGAGGCGGGCTACTTCTTCCCATCTTTTAAGGTTCTACTCACTTTTGAGGGGGGGTGGGTGGGGAGAGTAGCCGAAGGACGGAGACATCCCCCCTTCCCTCTCGAGGGTATCGAACTCATGAATTTTGTGTGCAGTAGTGAAAAGCAGTAGGGCAAGAGGCGCTTGCAAATTAACCCTATCCGTACGCCTTAGGGTCATTTTGTACCCCCGGGGTTGTATTCTTCACATTTTAGAATGCTTCTAGAACGAAGATCTCTTTGAAACTTTCAGTATTTCTCAAAAAATAATTCTGACAGACTACTATGCAAAGCGTACGGATTGGATTAAGGAGTAAATTTCTTCTTTGAAAAGTGGTGGCACAGAGTTCCCCACGTTGTATGGATACGATAGTAAAACACGACGTACGGATAGGGATACGTACATGACAATCCTCATTACTCACTGGGAAGGGGGGGGGGGTGTCATTTTCTCATCCAGCTTGTCTTGGCCTGTGATGCATTTTCTCAACTTCTTTAAGTAAGTTGTTCCTGGCCTTCCCCCTCCGTGTTTTCCATCTATCACACCGTCTAAAATAATAACAGACTTTGATGATTTCACAATGAGAGACCCCCTTCTCAATCTTCCTCTCTCCGAAAATAAAACCTTGCCTGTGCGGAGAAAATTATGTGGGTGGTTCGTGAGTCCTCTGATGTGGTTTGCTCCTTCTTTCCCATCTGACATTTATCGTTCTTTCCTTCTCTCCTCCTTCTTTTCTTTGTGTATTACTCTAAAGTAACGCCTCAAAGCCTATAGTCTTCTGCCCTTACATGACTTATTAATGTTGCAATCGCTGTAACACTTCTACTAAAGAGAAAAAGTAGTTGTACAACGTGTAGAACATGCTGAAGGGTGTGGATAAGCGCAACATAAATACAACTTTTCTTCATCTTCCTCTTCTTCTTCTTCTTCTTCTTCTTGTTATTGTTGTTACATGTATCATTATTATTATTATTATTAACATACTTTTTATTATCATTTTATTATTATTAATTGTAATATTATTATTATAGATATAATAATGTTTGCTGTTGTTCTTGTTAGTCCCTGTCGGATTATGCGATTGTGCGACTGCGGGTTTTTTTTCGCGTAATTCTGCAATATTTGCATAATTTTGGATTCCCCGGGGTTGTTCTACGTTAGTTACTCAATTTTCACACAACGCCTCGCGATGTAACTAAAGGGGAGTAATCACCGTAATATATCTCATTTAAGTGACAAGTTGGTTATTTCTCTTGGTTAATGGTTTTGGGTTAGGGATTTGTTCCTTGTGCGTATTCAATTTTTCAATCCATCAAAAGTTGTTCTCATGTCTGCTGATGTTTCATGTCTGACAGATGTCCTTGGTTTTAGTGATGTGCCAGCATCAGAGATCCAGATGGGGGTTTTTTTGTTTGTTTTTTTACATTTCTATAGATCTCTATAGATCTACTGTGGAAAGTTACAGAGATTATTATTTTTTGGTTGTTTTTTTCATACTGATGTGTATTGTTTTCTTTCCAAGTACACAGAAAATTACTGATACTGATATGTTCTGTATTCAATTTTTCTGTACATAAAACATGAACATTCTTGTTGAAAAGTACTAAACATGTCATGAATGACGTAACGGTAACGTGCATAATTTTTGCGTAATTTCTCTTTTTTGGGGGGCATAATTTGGCCATCTAGATCATCATAATTCTGCAGGGACAGTGTTATTAAACTTATATATACTATTGCTATTGTTGTTGTTGTTATTATCATTATCATCATCATCACCATTCTGTACAGTTGTGTTCTATTTCCGTGTTTCTGCCCACAGATCATGACCAACAGTGAGTGTCTGGACTACAACCCTGACCATTTCGAGGACCCCATGAAGTTCAAACCCGAGAGACTTCTGGACAGTAAGGGAACCATCTACCCCGCCGACCACCCAGTGAGAAAAGCGTAAGTGACGGGTCTGTTAAGGTCGTTCATCTGTTTTAAGGTCGTTCATCTGTTTTAAGGTCGTTCATCTGTTTTTCGCCCTCCTCAACACAGTTTAGGTTGTTTCAAAAGGTGGTGTCTTCGACCCTGTCTGACCATCCTAAACTAGACTAGTATGAGTGTTACGACATCTGAGAAGAAAGACGGTGACACACACATGGGAGTCGAACTCACACCTTTAACACCATTTAAAAATTTATGCAAATCGTGTTGTTGTTTTCACTAGAGTCGAACTCACACCTTTAACATGTAAATATTGATACAAATCGTGTTTTTGTTTTCACTATCTAAACATAATAGTTATTCAATTCAATTTCAACAAAATGTCATATTAAAAATTTGAGGAAAGTCTGCAGCAGAGTCTTATAGCGATAGAATTTGTTGAGTTTGACATGACAGAAAATAAAGCGGTGTGAAGGTGCTCATAATTCTTCCTCTCAATCTGAACATTGGCGATATGGCTTTTGTTAGCTATATATTCTTCAAGGAAAACAAGCATAATCTGTTGTTGTTGTTCAGTTGTTTGTTTTTTTTATTTTTTTTGGGGAGGGAGGGCTGGTTTGTTGTTGTTTTTTTGTGTTTTTTTTATTTGTTGCGTTTCTGTTTTGTTTTGTTTTTTGAGGTTTTTTTGTTTGTTTGTTTGTTTTGGGAAGGGGGGGGGGTATTTGTTTGTTTGATGAGTATACATCTATATTGCCACCAGCATACGCGTGCCTGAAGCCACCATGCCGTGACACAAGACGTCCGTGTTTTCTCCCCACAGGTTTATGCCTTTTGGTCTGGGCGCCAGGATCTGTCCGGGAGAGGTTTTTGCAAGGTCAAGGATCTTCCTCTTCATCGTGCACGTGCTGCAGAACTTTGACATTTTCCCGCCGGACTCGGAGCCGATAGTCAAGGAAGACCCCAGGGCCTACGACAAAACCCTTGAGGGATTTGTCAGACAGACGCCACCGTACAAACTCAAGTTTCGTCCCAGAACTGCGAAAACGTGTTAGAGAAATGGAAACGCGAAATGTTTCATTGTGTAAAACACTACATTGAATTCAAAACACCCCATACCTGAAGAAATTGTAGAGATCACACCAATAAGTAGATAAGAAAATTTCAAACAAGGTTGCTGAAAGAGGTTTAAAATTCTTTTGGACAAGTTAAACGTTGGTCATATACAGCACACAAAAAAACACACCAAAAAAAAATCATAATGGGTGTACACAGCAGTGCAACGTCTGGCAGCAAGACGACAACGGACGTTAAGTAACATAAGTGTCATGAAGGGCTCAAATCAGGCACTCGTCAATTTTTTAGGCTTACAGATTTATTGGTTTCATCTTTAAATCTTTGTTTTTGTTGTTGCCGTTTTTTTGTCTTTCACTTGGCGAAAGAACTACCCATCGATCTTCAACAGAAGTCCTGATATTTTGGATTGAAGAAGGTGGGGTTCACCTGGATTCATAGTTAAAAGTAGCGAGAAAATGGCTGCCAAATGTTGGTGGCCTCCAAAGCTTCAAAGTCCTTGGAAACTGAAAGTGTACTCTTATTTTTGCCTGTAATGAACGTTTTTCGGTGACGTCCACATTCAAATGCGTTTTAAAAAAGGACACGAAAGGTGTTGAGCTAAAAAAAAAATTGAAAAAAAAATAATTTGCCAAACGCCCAGAAAAAAATGCTGATGTCTTCCATTTCATTATTTTGACGAGCGCCTGATTTCACCTCGACATTATTCATGTCACTTGTCAGGTGTAGCGTCCAGCCACTATGCTGGCTGTGTGTCTCTTCAAGAACAGCGGTTGTACATAAACAGACCACGTATTGCTATACATATATGTCTGTATACTCAGAGCCTGTTTGTTTTCCTCGTTTCACATCTGTTTTACATTTCGTTAAAAAGAAAGTTGTAAAAAAAAAATATATATTAAAAAAAACTTG